AATGATTTAGTTATTTGAAAGTTTGAAAGTTGTACCAAATGTTTTAGAAGGAACTTTGAAAGTTTTGATTGGAAGAAAGTTTGTTTTGAAGGATTTTGAGTTTGATCAAATGAAAGTTCATTTTGAATTAATGAAAGTTTGTTTTGAAAGAATGAAAGCTTGTTTTGATTGACTGAAAATTTCACCTTATTTGAAGACTTTGTTTCTGAAAATTTAGTTCGTTTTGAAAGTTTTGAAAGTTTTGAAAATTGTATTAAATATTTTAAAGGACTTTAAAAGTTTTGATCTGTTCGTATTTTTGTTTACGAATGTTTTGAAAGGAAAATGAATTTTGAAATTCGATATGGAAATTGCTTATTGAGTATTTTTGTACTCATTTTTGTTTTCCTAAATGTTTTTCAGATGAAAGATTGAATGATCGTTCTGGTAGAAGGTGAAGTTTAGCATACTGACATGAGTTTGAAAGTCATCCTCCTATTTAGTTAAGTTAGTTTATAAAAATTCTGTAAAGAAATTGCTTCCGCTGAATAATTTTAGTTCTTAAGGTTTCTTGAAAGTTACGTTTCCGCATTTGGTCAGAATGACCGTATTAGAAAATACGGGTTGTTACACTATAAGCAAGCATAACCAACGGTAATTAGCATATACCTCAACCAAGAGATCGTGAGTTTGGATCCCCTCCCCATGTTATACTAAAAAAGACTTTATAAAGATAAGTAATTTTTTTTAGTAGAACAATATTTTGTTTTATATCCCTTAGGGATGGGAAAGTTAAGGGAAAGTAGTACGTGCCTTGGACTTGAGCCTTATATCACGTACCATGAAGTCTTGAGAGCCTCATTCTAAGAATTTATTGGATAAGTCATACAACATCAATTTCGAGAGATAAGAATAAAACAATATTTTGTTTTATATTGCTTTATAATCATACGAATAAAAGTTGTATTTGGAAAATAAATAAATTTTTCTTTTTATTTTTAGTATAATAATACATGGAATGGAGGATCAAACACACACATTTAAACATTCGGACATTCGGATCGAATATACATATCTTAGCCAATTAAGTCGTGAAATACAATTCAATTGAGAATCATATAACTCTCTATTTTTTTCTCTTCATCTCTATTTATCGTATAATTTGGCCCTTTTTTTTATGTTACACTAATTTTGAAATTACCTTCAGAAAAGACACATTAAAAACAAAAAAGTAAAATAAAAAATTGTGATTTAAATATGTAATGTTGAGAAAAGAAAAAGTAAGAAAAATCCCTTCTTGGTTCTTAGTTTAAAGCATCCGCGGAGCTGCAATTGGCATTTGGAAGGGTGCGCGTTCATTCATCTGAGACGCTAGACTTCACTTGATTCACCAACAGCGAGACGAGGAGAAATGGCATGGAGAGGACACCTATCCAAGAATTTGAAGGAGCTTCGGATCTTGCTCTGCCAGACCTCTCCTTCAAGCGCCCCCGCTAGGTATTCATTTTCTGTTGACGATCCCTTCTCTCTGCTCTGTCATTCAAAACTACAATTCCTGCTCCATCCCGGAGCTTATTTCGTAGATTTTTGTTTAATGGGGTTTCGTCTTTGACAGGGCATTTGTTGAAAAGAATTACAAGGACCTCAAGAGTTTGAATCCCAAATTTCCTATATTGATCCGCGAATGCAGTGGAGTCGAGCCGCAATTATGGGCTAGATATGGTACTTTAATGCCCCCTCCCCCCAAATCATTTCATTTCGTTTTAGTTCCTTCCCTCAAGGTTTCGAGATTCTTTCGGGCTTTGCTTAATTGATTCATAAGGGTGATTGGTAATATCAAATAATCTGCGTGGTAGTTCTTCTTTGACATTATATCATTACTTTCGTCGATATTAGGCGAGGGAAAATACTTTTGTCATGGTAGACAGTCAGGTTGGTCTCTTGAAGGCTCCATTTCACGAAATCTGCAAATGTCCATCTACCCGAATCCGTTGTGTGAGATTTGTAATTTGACTGGTCCTGTGGTTTCTTATCAAAAACTAAAATGGACCTGTCCTCACATAGAATCTGCCCCTTCACTTCTCTACTTCTGTTGACGAGTGTTAGAATTCAGATATCAAGAAACCAATTATTTATTTGCAATGGCTTGAACGAATCCAACGAAGAATCCCTCTGCCCCTTCACTGCCATCTTCATTTTACCTTCTAAATCAAGGAGAAATTAGTAGCCATTGGAGTTTCACCGTGACCCATTTTTTAACTTTTGTTTATAGCCAGTGGCTGAATTTCAAGAGGAACACTAATATTGTTTAGCCTCTTACAAATGCAAGGATGCATTTGCTTAATGATTTTTTTTATTTATTTTCTTTTTAGTTTAACTTATGATTTTCAAAAGTTTTAATTGTATATGCGTTAATTGGTAACCTTGTATTGCATAACACATTTTCATATTAATGCATATTTTTTATTTAGTTCTTCACGTCAATGTTATCTATACTTATCAATACATGTGATAAGGAATCATGAAATTATTAAGATTCAAAATTAGACTGCTGCTTGTGTAGGCTGTAGTGTATTTATACTCAACAAAATTTATCAATGATGAATAGTGAATATAATGATTTTTTTGTGCCAATGGTGAATTGACCATAAATCTTATTTTAAAATATCATTATAATTCCTTATTCAAATTGATATTGTCCATTCCTATATTTGATTGATGGGAAAATAAGGTATAGAAGTTGTTATATTGACTGAGACTAATTATGGGAAAATTTTCTCTGTACTTCGATTGAGATCATTAATTGAAACGTAGCGTTTACATTCCAATTGTTTGTTACAATGAAAATCATTGTCTGCTACTCTGCTTTTGTTGAGGAACCAGAATCACATTGTTTCATGATAATGATATAAGTTTTTTTTTTTTTTATGAGAAATACATATTTCATTGATGGTATGAAATATACAAAATGAAGGAAAGGAGTTACAAAAGAGCCCTCCAATTCCTCAAAAGGTCATTTAGACTATAGCTAGAGAAAGATGGAAAGTAGCTTTTACACTAGCTAAGAGCTGTAACCAAAACCCCATTATAAAAGTTGTCAAACGGCTGGGACTTGTTGTTGAAGATTCTGCTATTCCTTTCTCTCCATAGATTCCATAGAAATGCTCTGATAAAGAGGGACCACATAATCTTCTTGTTCTTTTTGAAAGGATGTCCCCCCAAGGTTGCTTGTAACAGGGTGTTTATATTCGCATGTAGAAGGATTTGCCAATCAAAAGCTTCAATAATGGAGCTCCAAAAGCTGTGTGCAAATTTGCAAGTGACAAAGAGATGGTTTTGGATTTCTGCTTCCTTGAGACACATTATGCACCCATTTGGAGATAAAGCCATCATTGGAAGACACCTCTCTAATCTATCTTGGGTGTTGATAGGTTTGTGACTAAGCTCCCAACAAAAGAATTTTACTTTTTTGGGTACCTTCCTGCCCAAATAATGTCAAAAGACGAGGGGGGAGGAGTGTGTTGCACAGCTGTGAGGTGCTTTAGGAGGGATTTAACTGTATAGATTTGAGTATAGGCCAAATCCATTTGTCTTCCCTGTGAGAGAGATGAATAGCTGAGATTCTGTGCTCAAGGTCAATCCATTCTGTCAGTTCCTCATCTTTGAGCGGTCTACGGAAATGGTGATTCCATGCAGCTGTGGATTGTTCCCACATCTCACTAACCTTGGCGTCTTTCTTTGTAGAGAGCAAGTGGAGTTGGGGGAAATCCTCAACCAAAGGGTTATTTGAAGTCCGTCTGTTGTTCCAGAAACTAGCCAATCTACCATTGCCAATTTTACAGTGCACCCTGTTTTTCATATTGTTAATGAACTTAGATATGCTGGCCCAAGGACCTTTGTAGATTTTGGATGGTTGATTTGGCTAAGGCTGATTTGGAGAAATCCCATATTTCGCCCCAATCAATTGTGTCTAGAGGCTGGCCTTTTCTGTTAAAAATCTCCAGACCCACTTTGATAACAGAGCTTGGTTTCGATTCAATATGTTGCCAATCCCCAAGCCTCCTTGATCAGTAGGGAGCTGTACTTTTCTCCAGTTAACCAGGATAATGATATAAGTTTTTCATTTATAATCTCAGGTTTTTTTACTGCTAGGTTTGCTCACTGTCTCCATTAAATTCCTTTGAGTATTTCACTTTCATTCCCTGCCCTCATTATTTCAAATGATTAATTTATTTGACTTAACGTTTCTAAAAATTTGAATGATTTTGAACCATCAACTGAAGTTGATCTTGTAGTAGTAATTAGTAAATAAAGTTGCGCTACTGTCCTCTAGGATTGAGTTTATTCAGTGAGAGTTAGTGTATAATAACTTCTTGTTTTTGTTTCAACTGTTGTTAGTCAATTGGCTTGTAAATTAGTTAGTTTTAACTTTTATTTGGTAGTTTAGTCGACTAAGTGGCAAGTGCTGTAGTAAATACTACCTTCATCATATTGAATAAGGATTTCTCAAGCATTTTTTGAGACGTTGCCTGAGTTGACCATTGCCACCCATAGAGTTTGAGAAAACTTGTTAATGGAGATTATAGGAAGGACCTTGTTGATGTTGTACTTGGTAGCAAAAAGTGCAGGCAACTTCATGAGGCTGCTAGAAAGGTTAACTGCTGTACAAAAAGAGATTGAAGACATTCATCAATCTGTAATTACAATCCATAAAAGTTTGAAGAGATTCTCTCAACGTATGGAATGTATCCAATAGCGAGACCATAATCTTCACTATGAAATTATCATTAGCCATTATCTTTTTTCTGACATGGTGGACTTGAAAGGATTCATGTCTTATGTTATTTGCAAGAAATGAATAGCATGGGCTCAAGAATGAGAGTTTAAAGGTTATGAAACTTGTATATCATACTTTGCCAAAAAATAAAAAGTAAAAATTGTGTGTCACTCCATGTGTGATCATTGATCAATATTCTACTTGTTGGAATTTAGGTTTGTTTTTCTCACCTTCCACATTAAAAAAGCCTAGTGTTCTTTCTTCTCTCACCAAGAACCACAAGTATTATCAAAGGATCAAGAGCTACCATTCCTTTTTTTTTTTTTTTTGATAATAAACAATGAGAATTCATTCTTCAAGACGTGGAGCCCAAAAAAAAGGCATACAACCTAGAGGCAGAGGGTCGAGGAGACCCCCTCCAAAGAACCTATACAATCAAAGTATTCCAACTCTGGAGAGTCAAAAGAAAACCGTAGTTACAAAAAACCTTCTTGTGGATCGAAGCCCACCAAGAAGAAGAGGGAAGGATGATGTTAATGTTCGTCTTGAAAGTTGACTCACTTCAAGTATCACAAACAACCTTGACACTGAGTTGAAGTTCATTTGCCACAGTTTTTGTAACCCTATTGAATTTGATTTTATAGATTTTGTAACCCTTTGATAGTGATACCCAAATTCCCCCCCTCCCACATAGTTGAGTTTTTGATGCGTTCCAAAGGTGGTGTTTAGGATTCAATGCCAATTCATGAGTTCTCAAACACCAATAATCATTCTTTGAGAGCTTTGAGATCTCAAGAAATTGTGATTAATGGAAAAAAAAAATGCAGGCTAGACCAGTTAAAGAATGCATGAAGTATGGGCTTCGAAGGAGTTGTGAACAAAACTCTAAAAAACCTGACATACTTTGTCAAACATTTGTTAACAATTTGTTTACAATTATTTTAGTGAGGAAAATGATTTTCAGGAGGAATAGATAGATGATGAAGGAAAAGTTCGTCTGAACTTGGATATCTGTAGATATGCTAAAAGCCTAAAGCTAATAGATAAAAAAATACCAATACTGAAAAGCCATGGGGCAGCAAAGATAAAAGTAAAACTGAAGACCCATGGGGTAGGAGGAATTGATAGATAACAGAAAAGGTTCCTGTGAACTTGGGGGAAATGTAGATGCTGGGATTTTACCTTCTGATTTTATAGCGAGTGTTAATGTTTCCTATCAGTAGCTCCCGAATAAAAATATTAACCTTCCTTTGTTATCTACGTTCCATGTGCATTTGCATTAGTTTTGATCCTTTGTGATGTCGTTCAGAAGAGACTTGCAGCCAAAGGAGCTAAGGAGTCATAATGCCACAACCACTTGTCTTCCACAGGCCTAAGCATGAATTTGACAAGGATGTCATACGAGGAGATCATTCTTGAACTTCCAAATCGTTTAGGTTTCTAACAAATTTAGGTCCCAGAAGGTTTGGTGGCGTTCCAAACTTTACCAATAGTAAAGCGTTTGAAACAACATTATTTCAATGGAAAAGGGCAGAGAGATCTATAGCTTGCAATAATGTAAATTGAAATTACCTTGATGCCATTTTGAGAACGAAACCTTTTGGTTTGAGATTGAGGTCATGGATTGACGCTTCCAACGAACAATCACGGAGATGATTCTCTGAAAAGTGGAAGTGCAGGACATTCTTTCTTTGCTCTTTTAACCATCTGGTCTGGCCCAGTGATCACAGGACAATTGGCAGAAMAATAATAGATGTTTCTTATGAATGTTAAAATCGCACAAGTTCTTGACGTTAAATGTTATTAGATTAGATTCTTTTTTTCTTTTCTTTTTTCTTTTTGGAAAATTAATCATGTGCTGAAATTTTGAGGATATGTGACCACAACATGCGCTTTATACATTCGTTCTTGGTTAATGCAGCTGATTGTTTTTCTTCATTTTTCTTTGATAAAAACAGACATGGGTGTTGAGAGGGTTGCTCGTCTGGAGGGTTTGAGCGAGGCACAGATCTCAAAGGCACTCGAAGATCTAGTTAAAGTTGGGGCATCCTGAAGCATAATCTGCTCTGATATTGTACTTGCAACAGACGTTAATAAATGGACGAGCTGAACTTTTTCTGTGATGCTTTTCTGTTTACATTCTGTTCGCTCTGCCGTTTTGAGATTATTGCTCAAATTGTTATTAGCTTGAGAAAATCCATGTTTCTGGTACGTATATCTATTTGTTTATATGAATAGGCTCTTTGGGAGTTATTGTCATAATTTTTTTTAGTGAAAGAAACAATTTCATTGATGTATGAAATTACAAAAGGTCCTATAGAGGGTTATATGAAACACTTCCAATTTGCTAATAGGATAGTGTACCTATCATGATGAAAAAGAGGATAATTTTTACACCAAGTGACAACTTTGTAAATAATGGCATCAAAAAATCTTTCATAAGGTTGTGGTTTATCGTTGAAGGTAGGATTGAATACCAGTATATGTTGGGAATGAAGATCAAACTCACGATCTCTTGATTTGAGATATATACTAATTACCAATGAACTAGGTTCACTTTGACATTCTTATTTGGACTATTAACATTAAGGTTGTATTCTTTTCACATTGGCTTTAATAATTCAGTTGATAGGGTATTAAATTTAGGAACCATGAGGTCAGTTCGAAGGAAAATGTTGTGTGGTGGAGGAGGTAATTCTAGTTAGTGTTAATGATAATAATAAAATTTGATGAATGTTTTCTAATTTGGAATTCTGCATGTTGGATGTTGGCTTTAGCCCAGAAAACCCTTTTAGGAAAGCCTAATGTTATTAGAATCTAAAACAAGTAAAAAGCAAACGCTGTACAGTACAATGGTAAACGTAGCACTTTCTCTTACGTTTGGAAGTCCAAAATCTTTCGTACTTCTATATTTGTTGTACTAAAAAGGTAAAATTATAAATTTGGATACAAGATTTTTAGAATTGTGTTTAATAGATATTTGATCTTTAATAGGTTCACAAAATGTGTCTAGTAGATTTCTAATTTATAAGACAGTTTTTAAAATTCGACGTATTAGACACAAAATTAAAAGTTCAGAGATCTATTAGACAAATAATATATTAGTTTAAAGATTTATTAGGTACAAAATCGAAGCAAAATTAAGAGCTCAAGGACCTATTAGACATAGAGCTCAAATTCAAGGACCTATTAGATACAGAGTTCAAATTCGAGATGCTCTTTTGCAGCTAAAAAGGACATGTTCGGTTGTTTCATCTTTCCTCAAACACATAACATAGGGGCAAACAGGTAACATATCAATACATCTCCTACTAAGATTTGTAATAGTTGGAATGCTATTATGAACTGCTTTCCATATGAATGTCTGAATTTGTTTTTGTATTTAGTCTACCGTAACTCGTTATACGTGTCACCTGTGGAAAGCCAAAATTAAGTTGGTCTCTATTACAAGTTTGTCAATATTAGTGATATTAAATTTATATTTTATCGATTTTTTGTGATATGAGGTAAATGTTGTTTCACCTCTCATATCGACGTATACCCCTAATTACAAGTAGGGATGGCAAAAAATTTCGTGGGATTCGATCCCTATGGGTACCTGATGTTGTCGGATTAGGGAATCTTCGGTTTGATTAGGGATGAGTCAAACTGAGGATCATGAACGGGGTCCCAACGAGGATGAAGGAGGTCTCCCTACCCCATCTCGTTAATATTTTATTAATTTATGTATATATATTATTTTAATAAATATTTTTTAATTTTTTGAAAAAAGTCGAAGCCCAATTCTCATCTAGCCACTCTTTTCTTAATTTTAACTTTCATAAAATTAAAAAGTAAAAAATATATAAATAATAAATATATTTATCGGAGACGAGTTTCTCCGATCAGAGAATTCCGTCTTGTTCCCAATGGGATCGAAATGGAGAAAAAATCTCCAACGGGACGGGAATGCCCCGAGTCACGCCCTGTTACCATCCCTAATTACAAGGAAAGAGAATCTAACAATGATAAAATCAGAGAGGCAGGGGAAGGACTAAGGAGTAGGTTGATTATTGGGGTTTCCAAGAAGGTTTTCCTCTTAATTTAATTTCTTCTTTTTGTTTGGTTGTTATAGAAAGGTGTAAAACCTTTTTCTCTCTCTCTTTTCAGAGTTCTATTTATATGGGAACACAAAACGAGGGCCAATTAAAGCTTCTCCAGTCAAGCCAGAAGCTGGCCTTTTCTGTCATTTTGTTCCAAGTTGAGTCCTCATAAAAAGTTGTCTTTTTTACATGCTACTTTCTTTTTGCAAACACATAGTACAATCTTTCTTCAACACACTTTATCAATCGTTTCTTATAGCAGACATATACTGCAATAATTAATTTCTTTTGTAAAATTAATCGAAGTACGTACAAATTGATTTCGATATTTTTTGGAGTACAACATGTGAGAGTGTGGATCGAACTCACAATCTCTTAGTTGAAGATATATACCAATTACCATTGATTTATGCTCATTTTGACAAAATAAGGTGGTATAGAATTTAAAAACTATTTTATATTTTCAGTAACATTAAAAACATGGGATATTTAAAACGCGAGAAATTTTGAAAATAGAATTTGGAGGTACAATCACAAACTGAAACCAAAATTTTGAAAATGCGTAATGTCGATGTAGAAATTTGGCCTCCTAGGATCTCGCCAAACTCGCACTAATCTTCTATAACAAAAGGATCGACGAGACCTGAGAATTGGAGGAGTCGAATATAGAGTGTAGGGTATTGTGAGCATAGCAAACAGTAGAGATTTGTAACATACCTGTATTTTCCTTCTATTTATAGAGGGAAAAACCTACTAGAATATCTTATCTGAATCTAGGAAGAATCTTAAGGTCATCAAGAGATATTCTTCTTTTGAATATATGATATGTTCTATTGAAGCTTAAGGAGTCAAGATATTTTCCCCTCTTGAATCCTTAAATAAAGGCAATTTGAATTGTAGAAAATAAGGATTTTCTCACCCTTATAGCTCCCACTTCAAAGTTGAAGATACAAGTCTCCTGCTTTGAGAACCTATTTGACTTCTACAGGTTTTTTACCCTGAGTTTAATCAATACCTTTGGGTTTCTAACCTATTTTGGCTGACATTTTTGCTTTCTGTTTTAACATTTCTGAGCTTGTACGCATGCCTTTCATCACCTTTGGGATTCTCTTCTCCGGTTTCACTAACTGACTTTTAGCTTATCGCCTGCTTCTAGGTTTGTCCCAATTCGAGTTCTTTGACCAGCTATTGATTAACTTACCTAGGATCTGTCCCGGAATTTGTTGATTCGTTTGTTCTGGGTCTTGCCTAAAAACTTATTGATTTGTTTTTCCCTGGGCTACCTCAGGTAGGGGCAGCCTTCGAGTTGTATGACATTCGTCGTCAAAGAGTTGTTTTCAGTCTCCAGAATCCATGTTGATTTGTTTTTCCCAAGATCTCTTCGGATTCGAGTAGTTCTCGGTCAACTAGTTGTCAATCGTCTTGACTTTTAGATCTTAGTCGTCCCCACAGACGACACCAATTGTTGATGCAGAAATTTGGCCTCTTGGGATTCGCCAAACTTGCACCAATCTTCTACAATAAAGGGATCGACGAGATCTACAAAATATAATAGCACTATTTTTAATTTTTAAAAGTATTTTACTAAAATTTTAAATTTTAAAAAATTAATAGATTTTAAGAATGTTGTCATGCTTGATCTATTATATCAATATTATGTAGCAAGACTATATTGCAACTATTATTATTATTGTTATAGTAAAAGACTCTAATACATAGGATTATAATATAACTCATTTTATATTTTATAAAAGTAAAATAATATATTATGCTATAAGTGGTATGATATTTGTAATTATGTAATTAAATAAATTTTATAATTCAAAAAATAATAATATATTTATTAATAAAACTTTAAGCCCAATCAAAACGATTACGTGACCTATTTTATTTTCATTGTTGCGAGTACATTACCAAACACAAATTTTGCTATGGGTAAAGTAAAACAAGACCAAGAATACAATTTGAATGATTAAACCATGACAAGCCAAAGCTTAAATATCAAGTAGTCACCTGAGAATTCAAAAGTCAAGACACAAGAAGCAGACTTGGCCCAAGGACCAAGGCCAAGTCCATGGACCAACTGGTTGGCTTGACCAAGTCGTGATCGACCTTGATCGAGTCAACTGCAAGGCCGACCAACCAAGGTCGACTTAACCACCACAAGGCTGACCAATCGTGCCCACAACCCTTTCAAAGGAAATCAGTCTTCTCAAGAAGAAAGTCACAGTCACACTGTTGGTCAGCTCGACCAAGTCTAGAGGTTGACCAACCTTTGGTTGGCTGGTTGGCTCAACAAAGCCACAAGGTCGATCAACCTTGGCCAGTTGGTCGGCTCAACCTGGCCACAAGGCCCACTAACCTTGGTTGGCTGGTCGGCTTGGCCAACTACGCTAGCTCGGCCTGTCACTCGATCAACCATTCCCTGGTTAGTCACTATTGGGAAATTAATGGCCCTGCATAATTTCTCATTCCACAGAAATATCCAAACACACACCACAATATGCAAATAAGGAAGAAACTGTAAAACACAAGAATGCGACACATCAAAATTATATTGGTTTACCACTCACTAAGGGCTACGTCCAGTCTTCAACTCATTTTTGGGTAATTGACTAATATTGTCAACGATTGGATTACAATAACTCTCCCCCAAAATATCCCGAGAGGTCCCAATAAAAGTCCTCTAGCTTCTAAGTATTTTAAACCCAATAATACTTAGGTACAAGAATGAAAAATACTCACTAAACTCACGGGAGATAGACTTCTAATTTTCAACACTATCCACAACCACTCAAGTCTCTTTTATTTGGATTTCGTACAAATGAAACCTTAACATAGGGGCTCTATTTATAAGATGTCAAATATCCTAATTCTTATGTGAAAACAGTATTGTAATCCTTATAAGACAATAATATCCTACTAGCTGTTTATAGGAATTGGTAGTAGTGTTAAAAATTCTTTTTCTTCATAGGACATGAGTTTTCCGTTTTGGCTTTATTACCCCAACAGTCATAGATCGAGACAATTAGCCCAGACTCGGCTTGAACTTGTCTGACCTTGATAGCCTCCCAGTACATTGCAGAATAAACCCACCATAGTAGAAGATCCAGAGATCTAAAGAATTGAAATTGCAAGGAAATCAAATTGCCCATACCTAAAGATTTCAAATTTTCATTATCTAAGGAATTCAAAATACTTTTTTTTTTCG